GCTTCCCGCTGGCGGGGTTGCCTGTGTGACCTAGTTTTGGCGTATGCTGACGCAGACCGAAACGGAGCAAACAGCATGGCTTGTGCTCAGAAACCTTCCAGATACAAACTTTTCAAATGCAATTGGCTCTGACTTTATTGAACTCGCTCAGGTTACAGTTGTTTAATCATAATTAAACAATTACGGCGCGATAGCCGTGTGCCTGCTTAGCTCCTCTCGGCTGTGAGCTGATGCAAACCAAAGTCCTTGCCAGATTTCCCACACAAGCACTTACTGCCGCTAATGGGCAGCGCTGTGTTAAGCTGAATGCGTGTCTGTAGCCTCCCTCTGCCCTGGAGGTTTGTCCCAGTTCTGTTCGCAGCACGGACTGTCACTGGAGAACCGCACTGGTCCAGCCCTAGGAAGAGTGGTTGGGGTGTACATTAGCTCTGGGGGAGGTAGAAGAGTCGTAAAACCCTGTCACAGGCCTCCTGGCAGATGAAAGCAGCGCAGGAAAGGTGTATGGCTTGTGGAAGGGACCACACCCCATACATACAAACCTGTTTCCCTGAAGCTGGGGGCTTCAGAGGGTCTGCTGTTGAAGCCCAAGCTCCCACAACTCAAGCTAAAGGAGCTAGTTTAACAGTCAGTTGAGCAATACAAGGTTTTCTCAGGCTCTTTTTGTTAAATAACTGATGGTGGCAGCAACAGAGATCACCTTCACGAAGAAGCCGCCAGCTGCCCACCCTGTTTTAGGCCGCGTGCTTTGGAGCAGCACAAGTGGCGTGCACAACCCAGAGTACTGAAAATCAAACACTTTCTAAAAGTCCGTTTTTCTTTTCTTAACTTCTTTTTGTGTGTTTCTTCATCTAAGTAGTCAAATCGAGTGGAACCCAGTTTCACTTCTGGGTTTTGGTAATTTCTGGCTTAATATTCATACTTGTAAATATCTACAGCCTTTTACAAAGGGGAGGTCCCACCTTGTGAACTAGAGAGAAGTCTGGCTTCACTAGCAGGATGAGCTTGGCCATCAGCAGCTGGGGCCAAGGCCAAAGGCAGCCAGAGCAATGTCAGCCACATCCCAGGCCCCTGGGATGAGCTCAATAGATACTGCATCTATACTTCTGAACAAATTAGCAAACTTATTGCTGGTACTGATCTGTCTGGCATGGTCCGGTCACCTCTGTAATAGTAAACTCTCTGACCCTTCAAAAGAGGGAGGTTGTGTGCAACCTGCCTGTTAGGGTTGGTCACTAGCCAGTATTAACTCTCTACTATGCCCAGGGACTGTTTGGGGCAGTGTTAGTCGGTGTTGTCCAAAAGCATGCCGAGACCTTTGTGAGCCTTTGACATCATCACTAGTTTCAGTTGCTATGCCTTTCTGTGGCACTCCTAAATTTATTAATCCAGGTGTAGGCAATGGCAGCTGGAAATGTGGCTCTGATAATCTTCTCAAAAACTGTAGTGCCCAGCAGAGCAGCCAGAATAACGTCATCTACTCATCCATGCACAGAGATACTGGGCAGCTGCCTGGGCTTGTGATGAAGATGGAGGTGCCCAAAAGGAGATTATAAAGATGGAGGTGTTCTGCAGAAGGGTGCAGGAGACAAACTGTTGCTATAGCCATGGTGAGATGAGGGGGATGATAAGGATACAGATACCCCAGTATGGGGTCCATCCACATGGTAGTCTAAGAGCTTCCTGAATCCACTGATTTCCTGGAATTCAAATAGACATCTCTATTGCTTTTGATTTTGAAACTGTTCCCTTCAGGCTCAACACCCTCTAACAAGCTCTGCGTGTGCATTTGACCATGTCTGCATAGGTGTGTGCAAGTGCAGTGCTGGGTCAGTGAACTAGCAGGTTCTGAATTAAGGAGCCTTACGTACCCCTTGCTTCTCATTAGCGCTTTGCTAAGGGAAACCTGAAGGTGTGTGTGAGAGAAGTTCAGTTTTTACTCTTGCCGATGAACCAGGGCTGCTTGAAAGTGCCAGCTGGATGGGGACTCTGCTGGGAAGGTCACTGGCTGAGCGAGGGGAGCCAGCTGGCTGAGCTACTCAGCTTATTTGCATGTCTCTTGCCTAAAAGTTAGGGGCATTCTTGCTTAAAAACCCCTCAAAGCCTAAAAGTGGAAGCGAGTAAACTATTTGTATGTTAGAAAATATGTCAGATCCTGTGTGGGTGAGTCGTGCTGTAGCCTGCAGCCCTAGGACATGGGAGAGGGAAGGAGCGGTTGTTGAGGGACTTGTCAGCAGTAGAAGTTAGGGAGGTCTTCGTGCCACCGCTGAGGACTGCCAGCAGAGCAGTGAGGAGCAGAGCTGAGCCCAGGACATCTGCAGAGCAGTGACTGTCGGTGAAGAGTAGTAAAGAAACATCAGCCGTTACCTGGTCGATTCCCTGAATAGCAGTGCAGAATGGCACGTCTGCATTCACGTCTGCCGGACTGGCATATCCCCTCGAACGGAGAGACGTGCTCGCCTAGCCGAGTCTGCCGTGGCTGGCCAGCAAACTGTGTACCAGGTGACAGCTGGGCCACAACGGTTCCTTTCCCTCAGCTGTGGGAGCTGTATTGTGGCAGCAAGAAAAGGGCTATTGCTAGGATTTCCTGAGGATGGTTGTCTCACCCACAGATGATTATTCACAACTTCTAAGTTGATGTATTCTAAAACGATGTCCTTCCCCCCTCCCCGGAAAGTTATATTTGTTTAAAACTCTTTGTTTAAACACTTGGCTTGCAGGCGGGGAAATATTGCTCATGCTTTGTTATGAAGGCAGTGTAATTCAGCTTCTCAGACTTCTGGGCAAGAGCTTGAACAACTGCCATTTAACAGGGGGTTTATTTTCCATTTTGCTTTCTACCGGGCATCCCTACAATTTGAAGACGGACCTTGTCACTGCCAAAGCACACCTGGCAGAAGAGTTGTTCCTTTTTCCTCAGCTCTGGCTCTTGCACAGGCTAAACCTAGTTCTTCTTGCCATCCGAAGAGCAAAATAAATCTACCGAGCGGTACCATATGTGCATCTTTCTCCGAATCTTGTTGGTTGTCTGCTTTGCTGTCTCCCACAGGCCTTTGCCTGGCGGGACAGGCCCCAGTCTCGAATCTCATCCTGCAGCGAGGGAGTGCTGGTTCATGCTGGTACAGTGCGAGCTCAGCAGTGCATGGACATGTTCGCATGTGAAGGATTAGAGTCTTTAAGCCTGATTCAAATTCAGACATCTGAAGTTGGTGAAAGACTCCGGGGATTTCAGCAGTCTTTAGGGAGAAGTTTGTATTGTTACCAGGTGCAGAGCAGTGGATAAGGCACTTGAATGGATAATGGGAGATGTAAATGTTATTTTTGGTTAGGATACTTATCTGCCTGCTCTCACTTTGTGCCTCTTTTTACCTATCTGGGAATAATTAAATATGCCTTTCTGGTGAAAAACTTTGAGCTCTGTTGATAAAAAGTGGTAGATAACATTTGTGTGTTGTTACCATTATTGTTTTGCGAGAGTTCATTTTTAAAGAGCTTTTTGAAAAACCATCATTAACACAACAAAATGTTAGTGAAAAGGTAGCTGCTTCTCTCTAAACTTGATGAAAGGGGCAAGCAAATGCCAAATCAGACCTTCTGCTGCTGTGGGTTATTAAATGGCAGATTCTGTGCAGAGTATGGGATGCATACGTCTGCTTGTTTAAAAAAGAAAATCTGCTCATCTTCTAGGTTATTTAATTCCATGTACTTAAATGCTGTAACAATCATTTGCCCTCTACCTTGAGGAAATAGATAACAGAAAAAAAGGTTTGAAAATAGAAACAATAGAGGCATAAACATTTTTATCTAAACCAAAGCAAAAACTTTGGTTTAGACAACGTGATGCATCACTCCATGGCTGTTGGTAGATGGCAGCCTCTGTCCTTATGCAACGGGGCTCTGTAAAAGGTTACAGCTGCCTGCAAATGCTTTCTCATAGGCCTGTGTGCTCCCACCTGCTGATACCGAATCTCAGCAGGAGGCGAAAGAATTTGCCCGTTTGTAGGAATAAGTTTCAGAAGCAATTCCAAGCACAATCCAGCTTAAAGCTAATAATGAACGGGCTTTACTGCATTAATTGCGTATTATAACATGGATTTAGGAGATAGCTGCTGTTAGGGTATGTTTCCAATTGATAAGCATAGGCAAAAGCCTTTTTGACATCTGGTACACTTGGGGTCTTATCCTGACATTTCAAGCAAGCTGTACTGAGGCCAAGTGGTTTTTCTCCGGTGGCAGGATAAAACTGGGTGTGTTGCTGCTGTGTTTCTGTCTGGAGCTGTGTGAGCCCACCCTGCCGATGACTCATCCCTTAGAGTGGCTCAGAATATCACACTCTGCCTTGCTGCTTTCCTATTCTTATTACACTGAAACATTTAGGTCTCGCACGGTGTTGGCGTTTCATTTACAAACCTCTCTTTTCCCATAAAGGAAAGATGGCTGCCAACCCTGCTTTATCCTGATCTTCAGCGCTCAAAAAGGCTTTTTCTGAGCCTTTCCCGAATGACTTCAGATGAAGATGTTTTATTTAAAAGCAGAACAACCAAACACATTAAACACCTTAGAAAGCACATTTTTCAGAGTTTAACTATTTTTTGGTAGCCTCTCCTTTTTTTTTGCCTTCCAAAATTGGCTGCTTCTGCATATGATTCAGACTAAATTTTCCCTTTTCTCCCAGCAAGCACTGAATCAGGATCTTTAGGCCAGCAAAAAAGACCTGTGTTCCTTCCCTGCCACCCTGTCTTTGAGTCCATGCTTGAGCATTTCAGCACCAGAGTTTACAACAGTGAATAGAGTAAGATAAGCAGTGGAACAGACTCACAGGTCTCCTGTTTCTTTCTCCCTCACTCACAGAGAACCTGACTGCTCCATTAAATCAGGTGTGGACATACCTTGAAATTAAAGGACTGTGTTGTCACAAGAGAAAACTCATATAAATAAATCTACCTCTTCGTAATTTTTTTTTATTTTTGTTGTTTTTGTGAACCAGGTGTTCCAGGTGACACAAAAATGAAGGTACCGACAGCTAGGAAGAAGTCATGAGGTAAGAATCCAAATGCTGCAGTGGGTTTTGCAAAGACCAACTGATGGACTTTAAGGCAAGTAAGTCTGTGCAGTGGCACTTGCTCTGGCAACCCATGGGGAGACACATCCATGAAAGAGGCCATCAATCTGAGGCCTGCGCTGAAGCAGACCCTTGTCATGTATCAGTGGTATAGTCAAGCTTAAAAAACTGTAGTAGGAGAGAGAGATGCAGTGAGGACTGATTATCTTGATTTTGTTTTTCAAAGTAGGGCATTGTGCTAGTGAACACACCTCCTTCCATGTCCTAGTGCTCCACATTGACTCAGATTTATTGGAAACAAGTTTTATTTTGTTAAATACTGTAAGAATAATTAAGAAAACCCACTCCATTGTTCTTACTGAGAAACATGAAGTCAGAATTTCTGCTCTCCATGTAGACGTGTAACTAAGACAAACATGTTATTGCAGAATCTCAGCAGTCTGGTAGCAGAGCTCAGCTTTTCACTCCCTGCACGCAGCCACATTTAAGTTATGTGATGGCTCTTAGTCCACTTCAATGCAAAGTCATGCAGCTTGGTTGAAATAAACACCCTGGCAGCAGCACAACATTCTGTTCGATTGCTGCCCCTGTTTCTGAAGGGTCTGTGTAACTGTGCCTTTGGTTGCCAGGAACGTGAAGTGCTTCAGAGCTGCACCGTTCATGAACAACAGGTAGCTCCATGGGATTTACGAACACCGTATAGATCTGTTGTAACTCTTTTGATAAATCTACTTACCCTTTCAAGAATTAAATAAACGCTCACAAAGTATACAGGACAACATCAGCACACTGGAGTCATACTTCTGTCCCATGGGGCAACACTGCAGCTGACTCTGTGTATATAGAGGTACATATAGATATTAGATAAAAGAGGAGCAGCAGAGCCGTCAGGTGCACATGCTGATTTCCAAGTGCATCTCAAACTTAAGATCTTCAAGATCTGCCCTCTTCATTCAGGCACCTGTATAAAAGTTACAGACCAAACACAGTCAGTGCTCACTGCAGAGTCTCCCATGAAGGTAAATCCCTCCCCACTGAACAGCCTGATCCTGAGATGTGGCAAGCACACCGATATCCCGTTGCTGCCAGCAGAAGTTGAGCTTGCTGCTGCAGTGAGTGCTGCTTCACAAAATGGGGACTAAGGCACGTGTGTTCATTTTTCCTTTGGAGAGGGGGTTTGCTTGTAGCATTAAAAATGTATGTAATAAAAGGTGTAACTGTGTCTTCCAACATCAGCCATGTTGTGATGCTGGTGGTGTCCTTGTGATGACCATTAGTGGGAGGCTGGGCAGGGATGTGAAATGCACTTATAACTGGAGCATAATTTGCTCTGTTTACAAGCGAGCATCAGTCCTTGCACAGAAGTGGTCAAACAACAAGCAGGGCAGATACTCCTTAGGAACCTCATCTCTATGCTAAGGCTCTGGTTTCCAGGAAGCAATTTTTCCCTTAAGAATTATTTAATCAGAGAAAAATCTTCCAGTACTTGCAGATACAACTGCTGCTATATAGAACTTGGCATTACAAAGAAAGTAACGACAACACGGCCCGGCATCTGGAGGCTGAACATTTTCGAAGCGATAGGAGAGAGGATGTGGAAGATTGTACATAGCAGTGCTACCTGCTACGCACAATAACTTTCAAAGTTCTAACCTTCGACACTTAATTGGGTACAAAAGGCATTTATTATAGCCATTTTATCCTAATGCCCAAGGTATTCTTCATTAAATGCATTTCTCATTTATTTCCTATGTTCCGAAAATGTGTTTTAGGCAGTCTGCAAGTCCTGCTATTGCAAGTCATTTCTACCTGGCTGTAGAAAGAGGTATGATTGGTACAATAAAAAAAGAAGAAAAAAGTAGTGTCTATGCTCCACTTACAAGAAGGTGCATTTTATTTTGATTTGCTTCATGTGGATTTAATCAAAGCAAATACAGAGGGGGAAGAGTGTTAGTGAGAATAATTGGTCGTTTTTATTCCTCTTTGCTTGACCTGCTGAATCAATCTACCCTGTTGCCAGGAAAATCAGAATCACGCCGACACAAGCATCTGTCCTATACAGACAGAAGAGAATTTATGTTGTAATACAGCGCTTAAAATTCACAAACTTTCCCCAAGTGGCTGATGTCTCACGCAACTGCCTGTCAGAGTAAAAACCACGATGTGGCAGAAAATACGGGATTCCCTCGGGTACTTCCTTCGGGGACTTTTAAGATCTCCAGAAAGTCGAGAAGCCCGTGCCTGGAGCCCGGGCAGAGGGGCGTGCGCCGCATGGCAGAGGATGAAGAAGTCTGCCGGGTGTCGGGGACTCCTTCCCTCGGGTGTGAGCACCTGCGAGGCGGTGACGAGCACCGAGACCCGCCGGGGCACGGGCCGGGCAG